GATGGATAGTGAATAAGGGAAAGGGTAGATGGACGAATGAAAGAGAGAATAAACGAACGGGAGAAAGGGTGGATGGACGAGTGGGAGAAAGGGTGGATAGATGAGGAAAAAAAAAATAAAGTAAGGATGAGATATATATAGATAGGCATGATGAAGAAAAAAATAACGAAAAAAAAAAGGTGGGAAAAAAAAAATTAGAAAATGGAGACAGAAAAGCGAAAAGAAAAAGAAATGAATTTTTTTTTTTTTTTTCTAAATTTTTTTTTAAATTTTTTTTACAGCGGCATCCTATGTCGATATACTTAAAGAATATCTCTTACCAGAAATCGATAATATTTCTAATTGATCTCACAGCAGCTGTCCTATTTTTCAGTATGATAATGTGCCCCACATATTGCAAAGATTACTATGGTGTTTCTTGATACTAATAAAATTCGGATTATGGACTGGCCACCTCAAAGTTCAGACTTTAACCCAATTGAGAACCTGTGGCACATTGTTAAACAACAGGTTTTTCAAGCTAAACCCACAAGTCTTACTGATTTGAATCAAATTGTTCAAAAATGTTGGAATGACATATCTTCATTGATGTGTCAGCAGTTGATTACAAGTATGCCACAATGAATTGTGGCTTGCATTGCGGCTGAAGGAGGGTCAACAAAATATTGATATTAAATAAACATATTGTTTTAGTTATATATTTATAACTTTATTATAAAAAAAAAAAATTATTAAGTACAATTTTTTTAAAAAAAATTTTTTTAAGTGTCTGCAATAATATGTCCACCCTCTGTATATTATTTATATGATCTAATTATTTATTAATTATTTTACTACAAGAAAGTTAGTTTATTAAGCTATTACTATATAATATTAACTATTTTAGATTTTTTAAATTCTTTTAACTCTTTAGGCAAAATTATAAGGAATAAAGAAATTGTTTCTCTTTAATAAGATACTTTGTTAATCTCAACTAAAAAGTCATTGCCAGCCAATATTTTTGACTATTACTTTAATATAATTATTGTGATTCTATAGATTAAAAATTTTTATTTTTCTAAAAATAAAGAAAAAAGAATAAAGAAAATAAGAATGAAGAAAAAAAAAGAAAATTTTGTCCTAATAAATAAAAACCTTTCTATATTAATTACCAGTTTTTTTTAATTTTAAAGAGAAAAAAATCAGTACAAAAAAAAAAAAAAAACTTTAAATTATTTTTTAATAAGAGAATATCTTGATATCTTGTTTTTATATTATATTCAGTTATATTATTGGTTTTGATATAATACAATATAAAACATATAAGAAATATATATCTTGTTTATATTTCTTTTATGTATCAATTAATTAGTTCAAGATTTTGATCAATTATTAATTAGAATTTTTGATATAACAAAAAATTTAAGGTTAAATTGAGATAGGTAAAATTCTTTAGAAAAATTAAAAAAAATTTTTTTAAATACTTGAAGCATTACTACAAATATATATAATTAATAAAAAAATTATATATTTGAAAGAATAGGTTTTACTAGCTTATTTATCTGCCTTAGTCTAAAGTAATTATTTATAGTAAATCCAAGATTCTTATAAAGTTTGAAAAATATATTTACTAGTAGTTTACTTTTTAGAGTTTCAGATCTAATGCGAATATAATAAAGAATATTTTTTTTATAAGTTTCTTTTTCAATAAAGTGTTCTACCATAAATCAAATAGGTAAAGTTTTGTTTATTTTGTTATTGAAATATATAAAGCTTTTTGAAGAAGAAAAATAAATATATGGAGAGAGACATCAGTTTTCAAGAAATAAAATATTAAGGAAGTATATAGATTTTATTATTAAAAAAATAAAAAAATTTCTTAAAAACATCTGTTTTTTGGATTGGTAAAAAAATTAACAAAAAAGTTTTTTTTAATAAACAAGTTCTTATTAATTCTTTTAAAAGTTTATATATTCTAAATATAAAATAAAAGATAAATAATAATATAATAATATAATAAATATTATATATACTATATGATTCTTTTATCAATAAAAAAAAACAAATGTTTTTAAAAGATTTTATATCTTTATAATAATAAAGTCTATATACTTTCTTTAATAATACTTGTTTTTTAATCAGTTGAGTAAATAGTAGCTATTACTTGTTTATATTTTTCTTTTCAAATCACTTTTCTTATTTAATTCTATAATTAAATATAAGAAATATATCTAATAAATCTATAAAAAGAATACTTTTCTAAAAAGAAAATTGACAAGAAAAAACATTTTTCAAAGATTTTCAAGAGATTCAAAAATCCAAAAAACAAGAAAAAAGAAGTTTTTAGTTTTTTTATTATCTCTTTAATTTTTTACTTCTTTTTTCTCAAGCATGTTTTTTTTTTAAAAGAATTTTGCTTATTATATTTTGACTTGAATTTTTAATTATATAGAATTTTCTGAAAGATAATTGGTTAATATTATGGATTGATTAATTATATTTATTATAAAAAAAATAAACAAGATATATTTTTTCATATGTTTTTAATTATACAATTTCAAATCAATAATATAATTAGTTTTTAAAAGAGTTGAATAATTTTTAGTTGAAAAAATAATATGAAAATATTAGATGAAAGTTGAAATTATGAGTGAAAATAAATAACAGCTTTTTTGTTTTTTGTTTTTTATTTATTTTTTATTTATTTTTTTTTAGAGATAGGAAGTAGACACAAGATTTAAATTCTATTCCAATCTATCAACAAGTTGAAATAATGATTATTTATCTTAAAAATAATTGGAAAAAGATATTTTGAAACTATTTATTAGTTAAGTAAAGCAATAATTCAAAAAATATAACTTGGGAAAAAAATTAACAATAGAAAATAATATCTTTTTGATTAAAAGTTTTTGAATATAAAGTTTTAAGAAATACTTTTCTGAAAATGCTTTTAAATGTTCTTAAATAATACTATTTCAATAAAAATTAAATAGTTTGATTAATTACAAGTGATAAGATATAAGTATAATAACAATTATAAAGAGGTTTTGAAATTTTATTTATATAGATAATCTTTTCAATAATAATTAAAATAGAAACATTTTTTTTTTTATTTTTAATATTTTTTCTTTTTGTATATATTTATATTTTTTTTTTCCTAAAGATTCTTTTTTTATTCCTTTATTTACTCTTATATGGTTTTTATAAAAGGAAATTAATATAATTTGAATTTATAATTATGATTATAAAAATAATCTATAGATTTTTGATCCTATGGAAAATTTAGATTTTAATTCTATTTATTAGGAGAACAATATATTATTTTTATAAATTATATCTAGAGGCTTTAATTATTAATAATTAAGCTGATTTGAGAAGATTTATACTTTACTTATATTCTTATGTTTTTAATAGTTTTATAATTTAATAAATAAAACAATACCAGCCTGATTATAAATTTAAAAAAAATAAATATTATATATATTTGATAATAATATTTTGGTTCTCAAATAAATATAATTATATAATTAAATACAAATTAATAATAAAAAATAATAAATAATACTTTGAAATATTTTACAATGTTCTGGAAGGTTTTAAAAGATTTCAGTATATTTCAAGATATTAAGAAGTGTTCTTAAGTATTCTAGCATGTTCCAGAGTGTTCCAGTCACATGATACATGGCGCAGTAGCTGCAGCAAAAATGAAAAAATTATTATATACTGTAAATACAATAATATTTATATAATTTATTAGATAAAATATATAGTATAATATATATATTTAACATATAAAAATTTGGTATTAATTTTCCATCATTTTATCATATATATTTAATAATCATTGTGTTAATTTTTTTGGAATAATGTTTAATATCTGATCTTTTTTTTGGTGTTATAATTGAAAATTTTTAATAACTGTAAATATCAAAATAATTCGATTCATAATTTTTTTAATAAAATAATATTTGGTGTAATTAAAATGTTTTTGTATAAAATCCGATTTTTTTTTTTTTAACGAAATTTATATTTTATTATTTATACAGATAGATATACTGTATATATGTATATAATTTTTATTAAGTTATTCTATTAGATTTATAAATATGAATTTAATGGAAAAAAAATTTTTTTATGCGTATGCCATATTTCGAATTTCAATTATCATGTAATATTTTATGTATAGAACGAAATTTCGTTACCAGTGCCTTACCAGGTGGATCACACGACCTGCCCAATAATTTTATATTAGGCCTAGAGCCAAACCCAGAATTAATAAGACCCTTAACACACCATTCCGTTTTGATACGCATAATATATGTACGGTAGATTGTTATTCTATTATTTGTTTTCGACTTATTGATTATCCAGATTTCCTGTGGCTTGACTTTTTAAATCCTTTTTAAAATGAAATTGATTTTTTAAATCGAAACATTAATTCGTTTGCTAAAATTAAATTAGCCTGGCGCAAATCAAATTTTCTAGATGAAACTCGAGAAATTTCTAGCCAATCTATTGTATCACATTAATTTATCGGGTACAATGTAAATGCATATGCTACTATAAAAATCCGGCTATTTATCTTAAAAATTGCTTTTAAAAAAGGCAAATACTGTATGAACAAACATGTTTAATCCTATCTTTTTAAATGAAACAAGCAATAAACATATATTTTTCGACGATCTGTATCATAATAGAATGCATACTTCAGGAAATTGTAATACGTGTCTTCTTCTTTCTTTTCGTTCTTTAGTGACCAACAATTACACCAATAAAGAATAACACAACCGTTAAAAAAGGCAGGAACATAACCAACAATTACATAAGCCCTTATTAGAGATAAATATATATATGTGCCTCAGGTGACATTTAGAACTTTACCCCTTCCATTCCGCCATCCCACGAGAATAACTCTTTGAATTGAAATTCTGATAGAAAGACGGAGTAATATAAAAATTTATTAAATCAGGATTGAGTTTTAAATTCTATGGTTCATTTTTGACAAATCCGCGACTTTCATCATGGACTTATACACAAGACCGTCAATATTTCGAAGTCTTAAAATTCTTCAGCTTTTACTTGCTTTAGCTTGTTTAAGCCTTGGTATGTTAGAATATTTTTTGCTCTCTTGGTCTTCAATAGTTTTTCCTTGAAGCTTATTCGACTCTGATTTTTTTTTTGAATTTAGAGATAACTCAAATTGTTGAATTTTCGAAATCCGATCCAAAAGTATCGGATTATTTCGATTCTCGGTATTACCTTTTTTTTTAATTCGCACTAGGAGCAAACATCATGTTCACAATGTCATGCCCTCGTATGCATATAGATATAGGAGTTCAGAAGGTTACGGCGTCAAAATTTTCTTTTACTGTGTCATCATAATCACAATAATAGGAATTGGTGAGTGAATTGATTT